TTATATTATATATACACATACACACACAACAAAATGACACAATAATATGCTTCTTCCCATAGTTTAAGTAAACAAATAAGTAGACTAGCCAAACTAGCTATATTTGATTTTGGCCATATGCATCACATCGGCAATTAAATAAATAAGTGTTTCAAGCAACATAAACAGTGTTCCAAATGTGCCAACACAGCCCAATTATATTAGCTTGGGCTATAAAGTGAATTTGAAAATTCTTAACAAATTTAAAGCAAATGTTTTTTTTCTAAACACATTACATTTAACTATGATACTAAGATATGTAAATAATTTTGTAGCACCTACTGCTCAAACCAAGGAAGTTTTTGATCAAAAAATTAATTTTTTTTTTAACTTTTGTTCTGCTGATATCCCATACTGATGACTTAAAGAAAAACTGTCTTGCAACTCATCTCCTTGCTTTTGGGTTTTGACTGTGGGTAACTGCGTGCCTGGGAAGAACACTCTCCCGTACTGTATTTAATATTTTTATTACATGCTATGAAAAGATACGAAGATCATCTGTTTGTAGCCCATCCTTCAAAAAACAATCTACTAATCCAGTTTAAAACACACATCTTGATCTCTAAAAAGTTACCAGTGCAGTATGAACATGACAAAGTTGTCAATTTCCCCTAAATTAGCCAGTCAAAATATTTTTTCTCAAATCCAGATTCTCTTGTAAAAATTCTTTATATTTTATAAAAATAGATTTTTCTTGAAACCCATTTTCAGCAAAGAGACCACCTCTTTGGCAACATTGTTAATGTTATTTAAATTGTTATGTCATCAGGTATCCCCCTTTACCCCATTCCCTAACAGAAGACTGTTTAGTTCACATGATACAAAAGAAAAAAGGAAAAATAAAAAAAGTTGCAAAATTATGTTCTTCTTTTTGCAATTTTTATTGTTCCTCTTTAATTTGTGGGGGGTTTACCAATCTGATTCAATCAATGTTTTGAAAAAAAAGAAAAAAAAACAAAAATCTTTTTTCTCGCTTTTAATCCCATTAGTTTGTAAAAATTGTTTTTGTTTTATTATTTTTTCAAATGAGTGAATGGTCATCTTAAAAAGACCCACCTTCAAGGAAGGTAGTAAAACTAGCTGGCCGGGTAAAAATCCCTGCACATTGTTATCTATGTATATTATATTCAACAACGACAGCTATGAAAGAACATTCAATGCATCAAAGGTTTTTGTTTTTTTCTAAGCATTATAAAATCCTTTCCTGTTCCTCACAGGATATCCAATGTTTTAATACTTAGGCAACACTGGCTTATAAAGTCCATGGTTGAATATAAGCCTTGAAGAGTTTTTTTTTTGTTTTGTTTTGTTCGTATATATATTTATATATATATATTTTAGTAAGTAAGGATATGAAATTCAGGATTTGTGGGTTTTATTGGTTTTAAAGGAAACTTGCAATACTCTGTCTCCTAAACGGTATCCATTAAGGCTGGCAATCGCCATGGCAGCTTCGTCGTAGTTGGTCATGGTGACAAAGCCAAATCCCTTGCACTTGTTGGTGTTGAAATCACGGATCACCTTGACATTATTGACTGCTCCAAAGGGACCAAACAACTGCCACAGCACGCTCTCATCCGAGTCGGGAGACAAGTTGTAGACGAAGATGCACCATCCAGTCCCAGTGTGACCAGGGATATTCATTCCGACAAGGCTCGTCATACCATCAATTGTGATCGGAGAAAACCTACCAAGTAAAAAGAGGGGTCTATTCTAAATATATCTCTTGGCACAAGCTACATGGAACCAAGACTTTAAAATAAATAAGCCAGTGTTAATGAAGGTTCTTGATCCTATCCCTGGAAGATGAGACCACATAGCCACCCTTGGTCTCTGACTCCTACTTAAGTAGAGGGGAGCTGTACTAAATAAACAGACTAAATCAGAGCATAAATGCATCTCCCTTCAAGGGCAAGTTCTACTTAGATGCATACAAAGATCCAATAAAAGAGATGCTTAAGGACAGTCTTAAGTCAAAAAGGGCCTGCACATGCTGCTTTAAACATAGGTTCGTTTAAAAAAGGCCTGTAGGAATTTGCCACTTATTCCCATCACTAAAATAATACAGTTTCAGGGTAATGGAGATCTAATGCTTTAACCTCTTACTAGTTTGCAGTGAAAAAAGCCCAAACTTCAAGACTTATTTCAAAGATTTTCAAGACTTATTTCAAAGATTACTATGAAATGCCATAGTCAGGATTCAGCTCTAACAGTAGCCTCTTTAGCTAAAAATACTACTAGATTTAGAAAGATGCCTGTAAGAGGTAGATTTTAATTCTCTTCCTAACATAGCCCTTAATTGACATACACTGGGAAAAAAATCCAGTTAATAAAGAAGTCCTAAAGCTGGCCACATATTAAAGATGATTTATGCAGCAATTGTAGAGTAAGTAAAACAGTGCATAAATACAATTAATGAGCATGTCAGCTAATACCTTCATACTGCGAGACTTCACATCCATGACAGACTCTTTGGCTACCTGGACAGTCGACAGAGAGACAAGCTCCTAGAAATCTAATGTAGCATCCTAACTCCCCCCGCCATTGTCTTTTGGGACCTGTTTTCTTTAGCTTGAACACCTGGCTTGGGAAGCTAAAACCAGGTGGCATGTTTAGGAACACAGAACAACCACTGAATACTACAGGCTGGACAGGCTCTATGGAGGTCATCTGATCAACCCCCACTCAAAGCAAGGCTAGCTTCTCAGGTTAGACCTGCTGCTCATGGCCTGGCAGAGGAAAGTTCTGAAACTCTCCCAGGATGGGAACTCCCCCAGCTCCAGGGCTTCACCATCCTCACTGTGAGTGGTTTTCCCTTACACTCAGTGGAACTTCCCCTGCTGCAACCTGCTACTGTGGACTCATCCTTTCACAGCTGACCTCTGAGAAGAGCTCAGCTTTATCTTCTTTCTGCTGCCCCTCGTAGGCAGCCGAGGACAGCAGTCAGGGGCTAAACCCATTTGCCTTTCTCAAGTACTACCACGTTCCTCCCGTTTGTCAGGGTTTCCCCAGTGGCAGCCGAGGCCAACAGCACAGTGACTGCCCCTGCTCCCTCGCCAGCTGAGCGTCACCCGCTAATGCAAGGAGGGTGCATCGCAGCCCGTGACTCAGGTTATCGCTGAAGATGTTAAAGCAGTATCAGCCCTCAGGATCAACGTAATTTTCCTTTCATCAGTTTGAAAAAAGAACAAGACGGCATGCTTTCTGAAGCTACACTTTGGGATCTGCTTAAAAATAACAACAACTGCACAGAGGAAACGTCTTAATAAAAATACAGTTTCACATGTACCTTCAATATGATGAGTTTTAATACCAGAACTGAGTGATAATTCCTCAGAATTTTCTGAGTGATGACTGAGGGAATGGAGGGGAGGATTCAACATTGCTACGTGAGCTGTTGTGCTCTCTAACACACGTCCTTTTACACATCATTTTTCCACACACATTTAGCAATCTGCACAATATTATGCAGCATATATTAAACAACCATAAAAAACTACACACTTGATGGCTGCTCACCATTATGTTGACTCCTGATAGCACTTTATACATATATTCAAGGAAAAAAAAAAAGCCAGTTGGAATATGAATCTTAAGCTGAGGAACATCACTGGGGTGTAGCTACGCTATACATGAGATGGGTCCTCAGACACACACGCAGGTTTGCCGACATAGTTTATTTTTAATAAGGTAAGACAATTTTCCTACTGAACTTCACTTTTGCAAATCCTACTCTCAAGATCCTTTAGTGTCTCCCTCGCATACTGAAACCAGTAACATTATCATAATGGTTCAGCACGGCTTTAACCCACAGTATTTCCCCAGCTGCTGAAAACAAAGACAGCTGGACAAGGCCAATTCATACTGCTCCTTCCACCGCACGTGGAATTGTAAATAGGGCGGCTGGGACCGAGAGCTTGTACAAGCCAATGGCTTCAGCTTCTTCTGAAATTTAGAAGATGGGACTTCAAGCCCATTCCTGACAAGAGCCAACTGTCCTGGTAACACACCATAAGCCAGCAAATGCTCCTTTTCTGCAATGTTTAAATTTAACATGAAGTATAACACTAGTGTGTACGCTACCCTGTAAGTGACATTACTGTAAAACCATCACAACGCAAAGCTGTTATGTTTATATTATGTTATAACTTCATGTTATAAAGTTTTGCATTTTTAAGGAACACTGCACTGAGGTAAAGGGTTAAAGTTTCATACAGTTCATCGGAGTAGCTTCTCCCTGGAAACCTTTAGGAGCTACACAGCTTTCAACTACTTATGTACCATGAGCACAGGAGCTGCTGTAAATCCGAGAAACTAGTCCAAGTGTATTAACACAAATACAAGATAACCCACTGCATCAGTAGCTAGCAAGCGATCTGAAATTAGTGTCAATAAAAGCTTTTTTCCCCACACCAGCCGATCTCGTTTTCCATCAGTACCACGTAATCAACATGGGGCAAGAATGAACCGACCCCGCAGCCCAGAACACTGCACTTACGGAGGTTTCGGAGGCAGTTTCGTAAGTTCTGATACAGTATTTCTTTGTGTAACTATGTGTGTAAATATAGGGTTTGCTACTGCAAGTGTTCAAGAATTGCTGGGAGGAGACAACAACTAATTTAAGATGACTACAAAACGACTTAAAACTGTTGTGATTTGGGACTAACAGACTGAATATTAAGACTATTTGCAGACTGAATATTAAGAAAGCGGATGCATAACCTGAACAGACAGGTAACTCTCTCTTTCC